CCTAATGAGTTGTATAAGGCTATATTTATACATAAATAGTTTTAATAAAATTGAAGTGTGAGAAAAATATATATAGTAATTGGTTGATATATAGCTAGGTTGAAAATAGGCATGCTTAAAAAAATCTCATGCATGGCATATATATGCAACTCATTTTTAGTTATATATGTTTATGTTGTTTAAAAAAAAATGGCATTTTGGTGAAAGATAGAGGAAAAGGAGGGGGAGATTATGAAGTGGAAGAGGCAAAGGAGAAATTATACAAAGAGGAAGAAGGAAAGACAAAGGAGACAAGCATAGATATATACAGAAATGGGTGAAGAGGGAATTGAGGAACGAGAATTCTATCCCAAGGACCCACCATGGTTTCGAACGTGGATGATACCGATCTTGGTAGCATCTATTTTTGGTTTTTTAGGTATTATTGGTATATATCACCGGTGTCGTTCTTGTCGTCAAAGAGAAAAATCACCAAGCATTCATCCAATTACAGATAGTCCTTGATTGATTAATGTGAATTCTCTCTCTTTCTTTATCTCTCTCTTCCTGTGTCTCATTCATATTCTAAATTATTATTTTTTTCTTTTATGAATTTGATTTTTTTCTTCATTTTTGAATGTTTCTATCTAACACAACTTTAGTTATATATAATGTTATATATATATGCGTCGTCTTTTCTTTTATTGAAATTTTTTTTTTTGTATATTTGGATGTGTTTTTTTTTTGTATCTGTAGGTTTTTTTTCCTTCTCTCGTGATAACTTGTGCATATTGTTTTTTTTTTTTAAATTTTAATTATTTTTTAAAGATGGAAATATCTCTCTATTTTAAATTTATACGATTAAATAAAAGAAAATATTAAAAAAAAGTGAATTGAATCTATTTTTTCTTCTCTCCCTGTTTCTCATCCATTTTCTAGATTATCATTTTTGCTTTTATAAATCTGCTTATTGTTTTTTATTTTTGAATATTTCTATTTAAGACAATCTTAGAATTCTATTAATAATTGGATGTTTTGATTCTTTGGAGCAATTCGACGAATTTAATAGATCTTTTTAGGAGGACTCTATGACCATAGATCGAACCTATCCAATTTTTACAGTACGATTATATATAATGTTATATATATGACTTTTACTGAATTTTTTTTTTGTATTTTTGGATGTGTTTTTTTTTTTTGTATCTTTAGCTTTCTTTCCCTCTCTCGTGATAATTTGTGCGTATAGTTTTTTTTTTAAAGTTTTCTATTAATTTTTGAAAATGAGAATATCTTCCTATTTTAAATTATACGATTAAATGAAAGAGAATAATCAACAAAATAAATTGAATCTAATTTTTTCTCTCTCTCCTTATCTATCATCCATATTCTAGATTATCATTTTTGCTTTTATGAATTTGCTTGTTTTTCATCATTTTTGAATATTTTCTATTTAAGACAACTTTAGTTATATATAATATTATATATATGCGTTGTCTTTTCTTTTATTGATTTTTTTTTTTGTATATTTGGATGTTTTTTTTTATATTTGTAGCTTTCTTTCCCTCTCTCGTAATAACTCGTGCGTATAGTTTTTTTTTAAATTTTTTATTATTTTTTAAATATGAAAGTATCTTTGTATTTTAAATTTATACGATTAAATAAAAGAGAATATCCAAAAAATTGAATTGAATCTATTTTTTTTTTCTCTCCCCTTGTCTCATCCATATTCTAGATTATTATTTTTGCTTTTATGAATTTACTTGTTTTTCTTTATTTTTGAATGTTTCTATCTAAGACAACGTTTTGTATCTTTAGTTTTTTTTTCCTCTTTCGTGATAACTCGTATGTATAGTTTTTTTTTTCAAATTTTTTAAAAATAAAAATATCTCTTTATTTTAAATTATACGATTAAATGAATGAGAACATAAAAAAAAGTTAACTGAATCCGATTTTCTTTATTCACTCATGAGGAAACATGATATTTAAATGTATAATAAAAATTTTACGGAAAAAATAACATAGGGGTAAAAGATTTCTCTCTACATTATAAATTTATAGGATAACCTTACGACTTTAAGCAAAATCAAATGAACTTTTGTACTCATGAAACCGCCCTATAACTAAGATACATATATATATATATATACACTAGCTTATTGACCTTACAAGCACGACTTATAAGCCCAATTTACTAATTTCCCGTTACAAATGGAAGATTAATCTATATTCTCATTCACCATTATAACAATAAACACCTAAATAAAATTTTATTCTAAGGGATATATATATATATAGCAAATTTCAATTTGATCATTTATACTTTGAGATTTTTCAATTTAAAACTTTATAATTTCTTCTTTGACGACTCGTGTTTTAATTTTTTGTATCAAATTAAATTGCTAATCCATATATTATTTAATTATATTTTAACCATTTTAAAATTATAAAATAATGAATTTAATTAATATCTAAACAATAAAATAATATTATTAAAGAATCTCTTAAATAATCATATATAGAATAAGAACTTCTCATTAAAAACTACTTCTATCATTACATATTACACGTAACTACTTAATTAAAATATTAATCTTTATTCTTCACGAATTTGAAGTTAAAAATTTAAACCATTATACTGTTTTTCCATGTGATCCAACGAACTCAATCAATTTCTTTCATGACTCTCTAAGGTTCAGTCGTAATCCTCTTTTACTATTGATCAATTCTTGAATATAAACTTGAGACCTATGATCTATTGAATGGTTCGATAATGATGTTTGTCCGACATGGTTCATGTGCATCTTAAGTTATATTCACACTATGCAAATGTACCATAATGTTTTCCATTATGATTTGTGTTAGCATATATATGTGCCCACATATAATATAACTTTTTAAATAAAAATTTATATATATTATACTAACTAAATTGCATCATCATAGCATTAGAAAAAAAAAAACGTAACGTAATGGGAAGACGACAATCCACTACTCGAACCCATGGTTGCTAAAGTATCATCAAAACGACGCCGTTCCGGATTTTGGTTAGTATACTTGATCACCCTTTGTGGGCCCACCAGTCGAACCAGCTTTTGAACGTCAACCTTTTACTCCCTCCTAATTCCCTACAGATTACACCATGAATGGACCAGTCGGCGGACGGATTTCGGGCGGCATTGACGGCGGAGGCACCACGTCAGGCGGAGGCGGAGGTTCCCAGACCGGCGTCCTACGAGGCGGTGGTTTTGGAATATCAGGAGACGGCGGGGACGGCAATGGAGGGTTGGGAAAATCAGGGGTTGGATTAGGCGGTGGATCATTCGGCACTTCCAGCGGGATACTACCAGGTTCAATTTCTGGAGTTTCAGGTATTTCTGGCACAAAATCTGGTTCTCTGTTGGGAGGCGAAGGGAATTCCGGTGGAGTTTCGACTGCGAAACTCGGTGAGTCATTTGTGTTACGGACTAAACACTGTGTTAACACGGATTTAGGTTTTGCGGGAGAAAGTGAGCGGATTAGCGCCGATTTTATTTTGATCGATTTCGGATAGCAAAACACAATTGGTTTCTTCATAAGAGTCGTAGAGATTGCGGAGAAGACACTGTTGCTCACCATTTTCTTCCCTGCAAATATCTCTGAAGCACAAACATTTCATACGTATACGTTCTTCGAAGGAAACCAGTATTATATGTGTAGGATTTGTATAGCCACACGTGTGAACAGGTCGACACGTGTAAGTCTGGTTTTTCGAACAGGTGGCTGTCTCTATTTATGGTATTGACTAATTCCGAAGGGTTATTAATTGAATTTTTAAATTAAATTATTTTACAAGCAAAGCGACAGATATCGTCATCTTCACCAACAAAAGATCTGCAGGGTCTTGAACCTATTCGCTCAGAAAGAAAAAAGGATAAGACAGAAAGAGAGGACGCCATCGCCATGGGACAGGTCTTAAACAAATTTCACGGTAATCCAGTTTCTATCTTAACCAATCACACATTATTCTTCCTGTCATTTTATAAACCTAGTCATATTGTGATTTTAGAGGAAGATATAACTTGCGTTTAAATATTTTCACAATATGGTAATCTGTATTACTTGTGTTTTGCACTCACCATAAGCCTTTCTTGTTAAGGACATGGTTGAATGGTGATTGTTAAAGAGAAATTGGATCATATTCTGGTAGTCTAGTCTAGTCGAATCGTTCAGTGGCAATAGATGAGTGTGTTTGTGTAGGTATGAATAATGGAGTGGTTGAATGTGGATTACGTTCTTGAGCGACAGCTGTTTGTGTTATTGCCTTTCAGAGTTTCAGTTCCAGACAGTTGTCACTGGTCAATGATTTTTCTTCTTTTTCATTTTCTCTTCGAATTCTATTGGTATAAAACTTAAATGATAAATTCGCTGTTCATAGTTAAATTATCTTGCTGCATTGGTTGTAAAATTGTCTAATATTTGATAGAGCATTTTTTTATCTGTAAGCATGTTAAATAATCTTCTCAAGAGGGTAAACATTTTTCGTAAAAGAAATGTTCTGTTCAATAACTTTTGGATTTAGCATTTCTAGTTCTTTTTTTTTGCACGTTTTGTCCCTTTCTTTTTATTATAACATCCAGAAAGAAATGGGAGATCTTATGCAAATGGTTTTATTCTCTCAGCAGTTATGTTGTAAAAAAGAATAAATTATCATTGCAAAGAAATAGTGTCATTCTCTTAGCAATCATGTTCTTAAGAATAATAAGTTATCTTCCTAATAATTATAAAAAAAACTTAATTGTTAAACAAATCTTGATAGGTAAAATTGCAACAAAATTTTCATCTTTGAATCACCTTCACTCCTTCCTTGATAAGATAGGACTCGAGTGACTGTGCTCAGAAAAAAAAAGAAATACTTTATTTCCCGCTACAAGAATCTTTCTTTCTTTCATATTGATGTAGAGGGTGAAGCATCTAAATTCTTTTGTTCTGGTATTGGCTTATATGTTCCAATTAAATGAACTGTAGAACATTTCAAAGCTAGATTGATTTTGGTTGGGCACACATAGATATGCCTCTATATGATATTTCTCCCATCAGAAAAAATTTTGATGAGCTACACGAGATCAGATAATTATACATTTTATAGCTCAGTATGCATACAAGATTACTTCAATTTCCTGTTATGATAACTCTATGAATGCTGAACTTGATAAAAGTGTAAAAAAAGTTTATATTTGTGGTGTTGCAGTGTGGAGTTGCAATCTGTGTTCTTTTTGTTTATTTACTTTCTATTTATTCCAACAATAGCTCATTCTTGATTAGTTTGATGTTCTCTATTGTTGTTTTGTATGTGATGTTGGCACAGATGTTAATCATCCGGTGAACTTGTCAAAATGAGTAACGCCATGTCTTGTATTTAATTATACAACTTCTGCAGGTAAGCAATGGAGGGAGAAACAAATAAGAAATATAACAGATAAGGTGTTTGATCGTGTCAAGAATCAGACTGGAAGAGCTGCTTTGACTTTTGAAGACCTATATATAGCTGTGCTACTTGTGTACAAGTCAGAAGCTTGATTTGATTATTTGACTTTATAGATTTGTGTTTTTTCCTTGCAATATAATAGTCTTACCTGGGGAAATTTCATTTTCATATTGTAGTGATATTAATAAGCGTTTGCCTGGTCCACATTTTGATCCACCTTCTAAAGAGCAAGTCAGAAATATGATTCAGGTATGCTAATTTTTAAGCACTTCTGATCTTACTGTAAACATTCTCATGACTTTTATTTTTGGCCCAAAATGTGCTTTACTAAAACTTACCTGTCAATAACTGCTTTAGACAATCAGAACCTGTCACTGTGTTGTGTTTTTGCTTAAAAGTTCTATGGATCTTGTTTATATTTCAACCTAATCATTTTTCAAGCCTATAAATCAAAACCCTACAGCAAAAGGTGGGAAATTTGTATTTTTGACTTGAACATCCTGCAGCTAGAGGTAAATGAGATTATTAATTTGTCATTGCTTTCTGCGCCTATCAACTTTTTATCTAGCTCCATTTTTGTTTAATAAAGGATGAATAGAAGAAAATTATTATAATTAGTGCATATAGTATTGTAGCTGAATATATAAAAAAAATAACTTGCTTACATAGCGTGAAACAATTAGGGGTAAGAACTCTGTGGGCCAAGTTGGAGGTGATGTGTTCTAGGTAATGCTCCAGAATATACTTTTTCTGCATAATGACTGCATGTAATGCAAACTGTGACAATCAAGTGTGTTAATTCTTTAAATTCAAGACTAAACGCTAACAATATTCTTCTACAATGCTATTCTAGAGAATTGCCAGGCTTTTGCGGACCAGAAATCCAGTTTCTCTTACGAATTTTTTTGTAATTTCTTCTGTAGTATTTGATAAAAAATGTTGTGTTTAACATAGCGAATGAGAGGAATTTTGAACACCTCGCAGAGAGTAAAAAACCTAAATGACAAACTTATCAGGACTGAAGGAATCTAGAAGTGAAAATTCCATAAATCTTGTTCAGAAACACAACTAAGCACGAGTCATCTCGTAATTAATGTTTCAGAGCTGTATTGAGGATTCTTTCCTTTACTGTGTATAAAGAAATTACAGAGATGCCTATTTTTACAGTTTCGAGAAGCTGTTTCTGGAGTCTCATGATGTAAATCCACGTATTGTTGAGTTTGCAGGAGTGTGATGTGAACCTGGATGGAGAAATAGACCGTGAAGAATTTGTGAGATTTATTCAGCAGCTTACATCTGACACTTTCATCGTGGTTAGTCAGGGACTGCTCATCTCTTTGGTTGTGGCACCTACAGTTGCAATGGCAACAAAGAAGGCTACTGAGGGTGTCCCAGGAGTTGGAAAAGTGGTGCAGAAGTTACCTACTTCAATATACGCATCCCTTGTGACCCTTGCTGTTGTGTGGTTCCAGAGTTCATGCCAGGAGATTTAGAACTCTCTTATCTGTTGGATTATATCCCTTACTTTGCTTGTATATAAGATTAACTGTTTTTAGTGTTGCCTGTAACATGGCATGTTTGCATATTTGCTTTGCCACATAAGGGTGGTTACTTGCTGCCTTATAATAGAATTTTATACCTGTCAACTCGGAGGGAATAAGATGGCCTTTTATGTGCAGATATAATAGGAATCGGGACAGATGAGACCTGTTGTTCTTGTGCAGCATACAACTTTAATATACATTTTTGATCTTTTAGTCACTCTACTTATAAAAAATGTGCGGTAGTTTTTGTTCCTGAAACTTGGTTTTATTCGACAAACAAATATGAGAATGACATTTAGTTTGGAACCAGGTTGAAAGCCCTTGGTAAAGCAAGATGAAAAATTATGTGTCCATAAAGCACTAGATATTCTCTGAGGAGAAAATAATGAGTATTCCAAACAAAAGCATCCAAAGGTGCACCGTCCATGTACAGAAGAGAAAGCAAGTTTACAAGAAGATATCAGCCAAAATATCAAACAGTCGCAAAGATTCTTCTTCGCTGGGGACTATAATCCAAATTATAAAGAAGTTAAAAGCACAAGAACAAGACATGCCTCCAAAACCATGGACAATGAGAATAGAACAGATTCGATAAAGTAATGCTAATACTTCCAACTTAAAGGTGAATTTAATAATACAAAGCAGATATTTTGTGGTAGGAAAATATTGTAGAACTCCAGACTAAGGGTATTCACATCAAGAATTTAGAGTATATTAATCATCAGATTTCATATGCGCAGAATGTTAAAATCACCGAATTCTAAAGATTAGGAATTATATAAGCATATAATTACAGAGCTTTCAAGAAATTAAGACACAACTACAAATTCATAATTTGCACCAAAAAATATCTCCCTTTGGGACTCAGGGTGCAGGGGGTAAAGACTAGAATTCACAGAGTCTAGGAGCCAAGTCTGCAAACCAAATGCTGGATCCAAAGTAGCAAGAAGGGTCCTGCGGATCCAAGGTCCGGAAGTTACCAAATGATTTACATGACATCAATGATACAATGGACCAGTCACACCATTAACTGCCCAGTACATCATGACATCCGTAATTCAGTTCTTTGAACTCACGAAGAGTTCAATTATTTTAACAAGCAAGAAAAGAGAGGAAGATAATGACATGTGACATGTATCAACAAATTCAGGTTTGGGAAAAGGTTAACAGCGCATAAGAGGCAAAATCACAAAGCAAGAGGCAGATGTTCATGTCACACCAGAATGCTTCAATTGTCTACTGCTACGGAAGTACATTAAATCTTATTGTATTTGGTCCTAAGGAATAGTTTTGTAGTTCCAAGTATATTAGTTGTTTAGTAACTTTCCTGATCATCAGTTCTGTGTTCTGGACTTCATTTTAGAACCATTAGATTCCAGCAAAAAACTTCTGGTATGTTAGTCAATTTAGAATTATAGGCTTCTACTAGAGGATAATAGGCAGTTCTCATAAAATTAGCTTCCCAGATAATTTCCTATTCTTAACTATGCTAAGCAATAGCATTGCAATAGTTGTAATATATTCTTCTAAATGATATTAGAACAATAATTCCTGGGCATCACAGCTTTCTAGCGCTTATCCTCTTTAACCATTGTCAGTCAACACCCTTCCTAAGCATCTACATTGAAAAACAGGGACAAACATTGCTGTAGCCAATTTTTTTCTTCAGCACAGTAAGGAATTCAGTTGTTTTTCGCTTGACCCTTCAATGACAAACTTTTCTTTGCCAATTTTTCTTCATTGAAAGAGGTTGCTGTGTTTCTGTTTTTTTTTTTTTTTCTACACAATAACAACCTAACAACCCTTCCATTCCTCATACCATTAAGTCCTTGGTATCAAAGATCAACCCAGTCAGAAGTTGGACTTCAAAAACATTGTAAAAGACACAACACCCATCATCTGCAAAGGAAGTCTGACTGCCCTAGGAAGGGGGTGTACACTGCTAGCACCATGGCACTCGAAAGTCACCTGACTGTCCTATCCACTGAGTTCTAGCACTAACTAATGCCAGAAGTATAACACTTGTCCAAATATCAAATGGCTGCTGCTATCTTACATATACACCTCCATAGCCACACACTGAGAACTCACCTATCTAAGACCCTCAACTCAAATGAATCCTACACTTCCAATGACCAGAAGATGGTGCTGTAGATACGCATCAAGTTGACTGACTGGAAAATTTTCTGCTAGTATACAGAGTTAACCAGTTCAACTGGATGTGACCAGTATATCTCAGTTTGATTGGTTCATCACTTCCAAAATCAGTTCATCACTTCCAGTATCACTTCCAGCCCCACTCTCAAGTGGTTGAAACCAGTTCTCAAGCTTTAGCAAATACACTCTTTCTGCTTTCAAGATTCATTTTGTCAGATCTCCAATTTGAACTCGTGTCACATATCAAGGCTAGTTACTTTTAGAAAGAAAAAACCAAAAAAAAACCAATAAGTTCTGTAATAAGGTGTGGAACTCGTCGCAAAGGAGTGAGGGCTAGTTGGCACACAAAATCTGTAAATCTTCAGTGCTTGTTTGTGAGTTTATAGTTCATTGCTCAGGAGGAGTTAGAATTAGTTGACACACAAAATTCAGGAATTTCCAGAAATTGTTGCTCAAGATAGTGAAAGTTAGTTGTCTAACAAAAGTTGCGAATGCTTAGAACTCATTGCTTAACAGGGTTGAAAGTCAGTTGCCGCATAAATTTGAGAAATTCCAGAGCTTGTTGCTCAAGGTACAAGGGTTAGTTATCTTGTAAAAGTTCAGAACCCTTTAACTTCATTCAACTAAGAGTTCATCTCACAGATACTTGATTTATTCAAGCCTTGATTCAAGCTCATTGCAAAGTGGTTCTTTGTCCAATTCATCAAGTTCCAAATTTTTAGTTTTTGTTTGAGCTTTTCATTTGATTCAGTTTACTTGTATGGTCAGCAAAACAACATCAACAAGCAGCAAAACAAGAAAAAGGTCCCCAAGAGCAAACAGTTAATTGAAGATTATATGTCAAAAGCCAATTTCACTATTTTCTTATTTAAACTTTAAAGCTAAAACAAAAGTATACATTTTAAGTACAAAAAGAGAGTAGAACTGTAAGGAAAAAAATTTGTAACCCCAAAAGCAACGTAAAATAGAGAAAAAGGAAAACTAGATTAAGAAACCCAAATGCCAGCAAGCCCAAAGGAACATAAAGAGAGAAAAAAGGACCTGTTAAAGAGACAGATTGACAGAATGTCAGTTCTTTTCCTCTATTGTTTTCTTCTTAGCTGTCACTTGTGAATACAGGAAAGTCCCAAATATGGCAATAGCTGATCCAAGTGCATTCAAAGGCCTAACAGGGTTCCTAAAAACTAAAACAGTTGATACAATCACCACCACCCTCTTCATAGTGTTCCCAACTGAAAATGTCAAAGGACTAATTTCATCAAGCGCCTGGTAAGATGATTGATTATACAGATGGTAAAATATCCCAGACAGCAGCACCCATAAATAGAAAGTGGATGATTTTCCTACTGATTCAATTGCTTTATGATACCCCTGAATCCATTGTGATCCTTCAACAAAAACCGCAACTGGAAACAGGTAAAGCAATGAGATTATACTGATCCAACCATACAAGTTCAATCCATTAACTTCCTTGAAATTCTGCAAACTCCTCTTGGAATAAATGTTCCTTAAAACAAACCCCACATTACTAATCAATGCACCCCACAAGCCTTGAAAATTGAAGGAGACTTCAGTAATTGCAGCTAGAGAGCAACCCAAAACAATGGGGAGAATGGAGAGCCATACTTTCAAAGGGTATGAATCACCAAGAAAGGAGGAAAAAACAACAGAAAAAACAGGTTCTGAAGATTTGATGACGTGAGTGAATGAGACAGCAACCTTGGAGAATGAAACACAAGCTGATATATGACCTATGGTGTGAAACAGTGCAGGTCCAAGTAGTGCAATAATGAAAGGTTTAGTGATTTTGGGGCAAGGCTGCAGCTTCAATGACCAGAGAATGAACATCCAAACAGAGCCTGCAAAGAGCTGAAAAGAAGCGAGTAGCCACGGAAATGGGAAGATATTGAGAACCTTCTTGTTGTAGATGTTAAAGACAATGTTTTGAAAGTACCAGAGGCCAAATATAATGGCAAGCTGCAGATTCTTGGGCTTTGAAACTGATGTTTCCCCTGGTGGGTTTGGTTCAGAAGATGAAGCTGCACGAGGAATATGAGACTTTAGGGTTGGATATCGGATCTGGAAACTGGTTCCATAAGATAGGCCAAATGGGTAGCCATTAATGTTGGGAAAGGTGGAGGCTTTGGTGGGTTTGGTGAAAAGAGAAGATGAGAAGTTGGGGGTTTGGGAAGGATTTGGATTGAGGAGGGAAGCATTTATGGGGAGTTGATGGTTGGATTTGGAGAAAGTGACATGAAATGATGATGACGATGATGATGATAGCACACTTGCAGTGAGCATCTGTTGCTGCTTGTATGAAGAGAGAGAGAGACACGAGAGAGATTGAGGAGGAAGAGAGTCTGCAACAAGACTTGGTTGGAGGAGATATTTTTTGCTTCAGGAGGAACCTGAAGTATCTTTAAAAGAGAGACTAATTTATTATAAAGTTTATATTTTTATAAATTTTAAAAATAAAAATTGGGATTATTGTTTTACAAATTATTTATATTAATATTTAAAGTTCTAATTTTAAAACTAAATTATTTTATATTAATATCCAAAAAATAATAATTTTTATTTATTTACGGTTTAATTTAAATTATGAGAGCAACTGCTAGTCTGTAAGCCAAGAGAATTTAAACCCAAAACAAAAACCATACAGCTCCGATCATTCTGCTCTTCCGCCGGCCAAATTTCTCACTACTTCGTTCATGCCTTGTTGGCTCAGCTACTAGAAAATGGCAGCCAAGCAAATGGAAGAGATACAGAGGAAATTGGGAGTCCTTAATTATCCTCGAGCAAATGCTCCTGCGCAGTCTCTCCTCTTTGCAGGCATGGAGCGTTATGCCCTCCTTGAATGGCTCTTTTTCCGGTAACTATTTTCTCCGCTTTGTTCTGTTTGCTCTCTCAGAAAATGTTGGAAACATCTGAATCGAAAATTTATTAATTAGGTTTTACTTGTCTTAGCACATTTCTCTACTTTTTTCTGCTGGTCTAAATCTTGTCTTCTTCCGCTCTCTCTCTCTCTCTCTCAAAGTTTAAACAGTGTTGAACGTGGGAGTATAGAGTTGCTTATTACTTCGTTACTCTTCAATAGGATTATCATCTTAGGTTTACGTTTGCGTTTCTAGTTGCTGAGGAGATATAGATAGCAGAACTATGGAAATTTTTAAAGATCGGTAGCTGAATGTAGATTTGATCTCTTTTTAGCTGCTTTTTTTGTATTATGAATTTTTACATCCTGTTTGCATTTTGAATCCAAGGCTGTTGGGTGATAAATCTCCATTCTCACAGCAAAATCTACAAGGCGATGCCATGGATCGTGATGAAGAGACTGCTCGTATTCAATGTGAGCTTTCTTTTGCACTTTTTTTTTCTTTCATTGAGTGAAAAAATCATACTTTACAAGCCTTGTATACCCGCTAACTGTACACTTGCACCTTGAGGCCGAAATGAAGTTAGTTAAGTTAATAAAGCATAATTTTGCTTTTAGCTAACCAACTTAATACTCACTTTCAAGACAGACTATGGATATCAACCATAGACATCTTGAATAGTAATGGGAAAAACAAGTTAGATGGTAGAGGCTTAGTAAACAAATATGCTAGTTGATAAGCAAACTTTACCTGAAGCAACTTTACCACCCTTGATTTTAACTGATCTCGTACAAAATGGCTGTCAATCTTTATATTTGGTTCTTTCGTGGAAAATAAAAGTAGTGGCGTTCTTTCATGGAAAATAAAATTAGTGGCAATGTGAATTGCCGCTTAATTGTCACAAAACAAGAGTGATGGATCTGAGTGTTTGGCACCAAAATCGTGCAACAATTGCTTTATCTAAATTAATTTACTGGTTGTAATAGCCGGTGCACGGTACTCTGCTTCCGCGGATTAGCGTGAAATGGTGGACTCTTTCTTGGCTTTTTATGAAATAAAAAATTTACCCAAGAAAACACAATGTCTAGTGACTTATTTTTGGAAGTCTATACAAGCTGCCTGATCAGCATAGGAGAAAGCTTGCAACTTGAGTATAGATGCTGCTGAGAAAAATGATCCTAAGCAGATTTGTTTTTCAAATTCCTGAGCAAGTGATAGACAGCTTGAAGATGTGGAATTCTTGGCTTGGAGACAAACTAATTGAGTTTATGCATGACAAAGCTAACGTGCGGTCTAGATATAACCAAATAAAGAAGCTGACCAACCAGCTTGCGATAGAGTGAAGCATCTTGTAAACATATCACCTTCTTCTGCCTATGGCTGTCTTAGGATCCATAGGGAACAAAACTGGCTTTGAGGTCAATGAACCAGTCTCTTCAAGTAATTGAAGGGTATAGCCTCTTTGAGAAACACTTATACCTGTAGAGAATGGAGCAATCTCCAGGCCTAAAAGATGCTTCAGGTTAGCAAGGTTTTTCAACTTAAAAAGAGAAGAAAGGGAAGCTTTTAATAAATTGATTTCATCAATGGATGGCCTGGTGATGACAGTATCATCAATGAATAAGGAATGGTCCGGTTTGGACTGAGCAAACCCAGAACTCATAAATAAGGAATGGTCCGGTTGGGACTGAGCAAACCAAGAACTCATAATAAGTGCTTGAGAAAATTTAGAATTCCACTGGTGAGAGGCTTGTTTAAATCCATAAATGGATTTGTGAAGCTTAGAGACCAACTTGGTTCCAGAAGCATGCTCCTTTTCCAGGATAACTCGGAGGCAAATCCATATATACCTCCTTAAGTAGATCTCCATTCAAAATGGCATTATTGGCATCCAATTGAATGAGATGCCAATATTTAGATGCTGCTAACAATAATAGGACTTTAACAGTGACAATTTTAGCAAGTAGAGAAAAACTTACCATGAAATCGATACCTTCTTGTTGGATATATCCCTTAGCCACAAGATGAGCCTTGTAAGGATCAATAGTTCTATCAGAATTGTTCTTGATTTTGTAGGCTCACTAGTAGCCTATAGAATGTTGATTGGAGGAACCACTGGCACCATGCTATTTTTTGCAAAGTCTCCATTGCATTCTTAACTGGCTTTAAGTTCACTAATGCATCTGTTTCTAAACATACATGCTTAGAAGCTCCAGAATCCATTATCCACATATATTTTGGACAAAACCTGGAATTTAAAGCCAATGAAAAGCAGGTACTAGTGTAAGAAACTGAACTTCCTTAAAATCATTGGCAACCTTTGCAGAGGACATCACATGATCAGAGAGCAGTGACATTAGCTGCTGATACTATGTTGGGTTGAGGTTCTATATGAAATTCGCAACAGACCTCTCTGGTTTATCTGTTGCAAAAGACAAACTCGAGGAAACATTATTAGCTTGGTTAACAGAAGCAACACTTTGGATCCTTTGCTTTTGTTTATAACCTGGAGGATGAGCATGAAGCTTGTAGCACTTGTCTACTGTATGCACATAAAAATTACAATGGGTACAGAAAGGTGTATCTTTTCTTTGATATTTATTCCGCCCTTCACTTGTCTGTTTCTTCTCTATTCTAAGCATAAACCCAGCACTAGAGTCACGAAGCTTAATAGCTGCACTTCTTTGTTCTTTTTGAGAGACTAGGAAACACCTTGTTTATGGAAAGTATAGGATCTAATGGCAACCACTGCCCTCTAATTTGTGCATATGACTCATCTAATCCCATAAAAGATGCACATGGCATACTCCATCTAAGCATCGGCATCCAATTTGTGCACTACCTTGCATGTATATCTCCTATAGTTGTGTACAGGTTTGTAGTTATTCAATTCTTCTCACAATGCTTTTAATATTGTAAAATACACACTTATAGTGCTTTATCCTTGGACGTGATTCAACAGTTCTCTACTGAGCTAATAAATGTTAGGACCATCGCCACGTGAAAAGTGATCTTTAAAATCAGTCTAGATAGTAGCAGGCGAGTCAGAGAAGATAATATTTGCAGGAATTTCCTTTGAAATGGAATTGAGAATCCACAAGATTACTACGTTATTATTTCGAATTTTAGCATTAAGAAGATTCAAATCATCTTCATTAGGTTTTGCAATTGCTTCGTTCAGAAAACCTAATTTGTTGTTCACCGATAACAAATTAATATCGTGCTACTCCGGGATGCATAATTATCGTCAGTTAATTGCTGAGAAACTAACATCAATCTAGGGCTATCTAAATGATGTAATAAATAGGAACTGAGAGGATCATCTATGGCTAATTTGGCAAGTTTCAACGAACTTCCAAGACTTTTTGTGTCCATGACTTGAAAGCAAAGAAACTTTTTGTGTCCATGACTTGAAAGCAAAGAAACAATCAGGAAGAGAATTTTGTAATCGGAAGGACAAGTCAAGAGGTCAGCAGAAGTATATGCTCTGATACCATGTTATAATTCAAGAATTGTTGAGGAAGAGCAAGAAAGAAAAAAGAAAGATGAAAGAAAAAGAAAGCTGAGAGAGAGAGAATTCTATAAGTGAAAACAACATACTTTACACTTACTCCTTAAGGCTGAAACTAAGTTAAGTTAATAAAGCTTAATTTTGCTTTTAGCTAACCAATTTAGTAGATAATTCCATTGATACTGTTTAAATGTGATCAAACTATTCACAAATTTAACATAATGCTGTTTAAATATGAACAAATATTTTCAATTCATCACCTCTTTTACATACCAGTATGATTGCAATTAGCAAGTGATTACCTCTCTTTTACAGATCTGGCAGAGATTGCAAAATTTCTGGGTATCACGACTACCATAGATATAGAAGCCATTCAAGTAAGCTGCTTATTTCTTTGTTATGTAATCTCATCTAATTGTAGTCACAGGTATGCTAATCTTAATGGTATGTTTTTGAAATTTTCAGATAGGTATCTTGCAGTTTAGTGTGACGTAATATGGTTTAGAACTGCATAATATACACTTAATAACATAAATTCAGCCTTTCTGTCAATCTTGAGATTTGGGGAATTGTTTGGTTAACTGTGTCCTCAAGTTACTATTAAGCTTGAGTAACTTCAGCATGTTTATATTTCAGGGACGAGGAAGCTATGAAGATCGAACTGAAATGCTCCGTCTTATTGTTGATCTGTAGAGGCAATCCTCTATCCTGATAATCCTGAATGGAGGTTGTGATAATATCGAGTCTCTATGTGTTTCAGAATTTTTTGTTCTTAATAAGCAGTTGATATCACTTTTGATTTAATTTGATTTCCTGGCTAACATCATTTTACCTTCTTATACAGTGTTGATGAGCAGGTGGCAAAGGATATTCAACTTATAGATTCCATTGCAGAGAAGCAAGCTCTAATTTTCTCTGAGGAATGCAAGTTGTTTCCTGCAGATGTCCAAATTCAATCCATATATCCATTGTACGAATTTTTTCCTCCTATAACTCTGGAATAATGATTCAGTGTTCCATATCTTCTGTTTAGCTTTAAAAAAACATGCATTATACTATTATACTGCCCATATGTCCCACTTTAGAGTTCCAGTACGAGTCGTCGACAGGATTAAGAAGATCATGAGAGATTTTCTATTGTTCGATGTTGGGAAGGATGCTGGGATCATTTTGTTAAAATTGGATCATGAGAGATATTCAACTTAGGCAGTGCCTATACTACAGTTCTACCAAACACTACAATAGTGTTTTTCATTTTCTTTCTTTTTGTTTTGGAGGATAGCTCATTCTCTGTTAATTGGTACTTCTTTTCCATTCCTTCAAATAAGATTTCTTCTTTTATTAAAAGCATTAAATTCTTTAATGTATGACAGATACTTTTCAAATGAGATTTTCTGTGTTAATTAGTTATCAGAGAGTTTTTCTGGCTTAGCACTAGTCAGTATCAAATGATTTATAGTTTTCTATATCAGCAGATATAGTAACATTCTCTTTCTTCATTCAAAGTTCATTTGCAGACCAGATGTTTCCGAGCTAGAATCAAAGCTCGCAGAACAGTCCAAGATACTCTTGAATCTTCAACAGAAAGTTGATGACTTGGCAGCAAAGGTCTGTCCAAGCTCCTTAAGTCGTAGTTCAACACTATGCTTTGAATTTTGTATCATCGGTCGTGAAACTGTACTGCAATTTCATCTCTGATATTATTCCCTTTCCTTTCACTGTGCCTCTACCACTTTATATCACATTATTATCCTACCACAAACTGACCACATGGTTTAAAGCCATTTTGTTTGAAGTATACTTTGCCACCATCAGTTAAAAGCTGTATATTCTCCCACAAACTGACTGCATGGTTCTCTAATTTTCAGCATGAGATTCTATTACCAGGATTTTCCAGAGTAGATATTTCATAATAATCTGTATGATTGTCACACTTCTGGTTGAAAATATCAGAAGAAAAGAAATTAGTGTGAACTTTACTTGCCCTTTCTGTTTGGCACTGTCTGGATCATTTCATATTAGTTTCCCAATAACACCCCTGGTATCATTATTGTGCTAAGGAGGACCTAGCACAGTCTACAGTTTAAAAAGAATTATTGGCTCATCATGGATTGACAAGACAGTTCTCTTTTCTTTCAAGAGAAAATTCCCACTAAAATTGCATCTTGAATTGTCTAATTTCATTTTCTCCAAAAACAAGTTTCTGATTTATATTTCTTCTAGCGGTCTACAAGTTTTACATTTTGTGCATCCCTGAGTTTAGATTTTAACCTGTTGGGTTTGTTTTCCTTATTTGTTTAAATATCATTTTCCCCCTTGTAGCATGCGTATAATCCAGATGAAGAGTACACTGAAGTGGAAGCACAACTGCGGGCACATCTGGAATCTTTCCTAGAAACTGCAAGAGCATTCAATACAATTTACACAAAGGTCTAACATACTTTTTGTACAATTGATCTGCTTGGACAGTTTTTTCTGTTATTGTCATTTGTGTGTTTTCTGCTTGACCCAACTGGTTTCATGATTTTGCAATTAAACTATCTCAGAACATGATGCTCTCTTTAATTAATGTGGAAATATGCAAAGGAATTCACTTAGTGAAGCCCAATTTGGAAAAATGGCATAAATGAGTCAAATTTAGTCAACAAGAAAGTGTTTCAGTTATATCAAGATTTGGAATTTCTTGCTATGTTCTATGTTTCTTGTTCTTGGATTGAATATCCAATAAGAGAAGGTATTTTTCTTGGACAAAAAAAAAAAATTTCCTGATTGAACGCTCAGAAAGATATTATTGAAATAAGCTTGTTGACCAGCATAAACACTGTTTCAGCCGTACGCATGTGATCCATTCATATGCTGCAACTTGAAAAGGATCACAGACATTAAAGTTGATGCTGTATCTCCAAATATATGTTAGTGTATATTAAAACTAACTTCTGAGATAAATGATTGACATTTGTTACTTCGTAACACTGAAAGTGGCAGACATCATTCGGGTCTTTAGGGAGAAAATTTTGGTTTGGACAGTATTTTTGTTTGTTTGTTTGTTTTTTTCCCCTCAAATTTGGTTTAGGTCTTCAGAAAATGCTAAAATCATTTAATCTTTTGTCTTCATCAATTTATGGTATTGTTTTAATTGATTTTTATATTTTTTACTCATATATGTATTAGTTGACTTATATAGGTGTGAATATGTATTCTTATTTTATGTTAATATTTATAATTAATTATTTGGAAGTTAATATATTATTATCACTTAGTTGTATTATTTCTATTCCTTTTGAAAAAATAAAAAAAAAAACTATTTATACTTTAATTAATCAATTCTTAGGAGTCTTTTAAATTTAGTATATATAAATGAAACCTATTCAGCTTCTATTTAGAATCTGTTTAGGTTATATATGTGTTCGACATGGATTCATCTGTTGTAACTTATGTTGAGTCAAATACTTTTTTAGTATAAAAATGCATATATATACCAGTACATATTATTTTGTGAAGAAAAATATAATTATATATATTTCTGAAAAATGTCAATAAAAGTTACTAGGGGAGCCATCTTCTCTGAATTGTGAAAGAATATAGCAGAGTTGAACTCAGACTGAACTTTTGTGACATCATATGTGTCATCTTCTAGCTTTCATATAATCTTATTTTATTTGTTCTATTATATTTTTGTTATTATCTATACAAAAATAACATACTCCAGTATAATTCATGCAGTATCACCTGGAATAAAAGCTTGTCGAGTAATATTTTCTCGCGTAGTTTAAAAGACTTTGCTTTTTCTTATAGGAAATCCGTCCCTGGACGCACATGATGGAGGTACCGCAGCTTCATGGGTTTGGACCTGCTGCCAATCGCTTGTTGGAGGCGTACAAGATGCTCTTAAAGGTACCTTAATGCTGATTCCATTTCTCAATATATCTTACTAGTTCTGTATATCTTATGGCTGCGCATATCTTTCATCTGTTGCTTACAAATTCTATACCGTGACAAGCTATATTTACCAATTTTACATCATCAACTGAATCGAAATGCTGATTTTGTTTTTCGATCGGAATGATCATAAAGGTGTAATGAGAGTCTACTTTCTTTTACAGTTCCTTGGTAACTTGAGGAATCTGAGAGACTCTCATGCTGCTCTTGCAATTGGATCCTCTGAAACAATTGCTGGCGAACCCACATCCGTGACAAGAATAATCTCCGAGTGTGAGTCTGCATTAACATTTTTAAATCGAGATCTTGGCGTTCTCTCTGCTTCCATTGCTCGTGAACATGACGAGCACACAGCCTAACTAAGAATTTGAACAAAAATAATAAACTTATCGAGAGTTCCTCCTCTTCGAGGATATAACATTTTACGAAAATTCATTACATTTACTCCATTGGAACATAGGGATTTGGGATTTGAAACTCTGAATTGAAGTAAGCTCAGTATAACCCTTTCATGTGTTGCACATATTTTAACAATTTGCCCATCTGCTAAAAGTAAAGAAAATTGGATGTGTGGTGTAATTTTGGGGGCTTTCATTACATGAACTTCAATCTGTATAATGAATTTTAGTTGATTATTTATAGTTTGGAGTTTTATTCACTTAATATTCCTTTTAAAGATGTTTTATTATTCATGGTTTTAACTGTTAATCATATAATGGATTATTATTAATGTGAGCACACAGACTATGTAATTTTTTAAAAAATTGTGACTCAAAATGAAAATTTATACACTTGGAGAGACTTGCTTTAATGATATATATATATATATATATACATCTTTTGCAGATTGTATTGGTTGTCTTATATATGTAAGCTTATAGTAATAATAAATAATTTAAAATATCCTAATAAAATTGATACAATTAATCATTTATACAAACATGAATTCTATCATCTTAATCAAATAATAAAACTATAGTTATAATTACTTTTACATTACATTTAAAATTAAAATTATTTCAAATTTTAAGTTAATCTAATCAAATTTTAAGCATTAACCCAATTTTAATTTATACTAGTAAAAAATAAAATCAACTATATAAATACAATTAGAATTGTTGAATGATAGTCTATTTTATTCATAACCATTTTTTTTTAATTTTTAATTGAAATTATTGCAAAATTTGATATAAATATATTTGTGTTTTATAAGTTTTTTTTTTTTTGAAATATTCTACAAATGGTGTTCTTATTAACTATATAGAAATTAGTACGAATTAACCCTCTGTATATATTCTCTAATTTAATGCTAAACTAGGTCTATGAATGATCCCTAAGTCAATTGAAGCATATTATATATAAAATAAAATAAGATATTCAGATTAATTAAGATTATATTTATGCACTCGAATTGACCAAGAAAATATATCGAATGTGAATTTTACCAAATTATTTTCCTATATATATATATATGGTAATTTTCCGAAATAAAGTAAAAAATAAAATATTAATTCAAAATAATTAATTTTAAAATTAAAAAATTATGGTATATCAACCATATAATCTTAACACATACTTTACATATATTTAAAATGTGAAAATAAATTCATTGTAAGCAAATTCTATTCAAATTTAACATCAAAATTTGTTGCAATAATCGATTAAAATGTCAATGGAAAGTATATATTATGGTAAATATATAAAGTTTTAGTTTAAAATAATATTACATTAATAAAATTTTATAATGAATTATTTAAAATTTTGTAAATTTTCATATTAAAATTAATCCTATTTTTTTGGAAAAATTTAATTTATTTTTTTTATTTACTCTTGGTATTAATCAAAATTCTAAATATAAATCAATTAATTTCTTGCTAATAAACTTTTGTTCTCGAAACTTATTAATAAGAAACTATTAATCTCATTTATTTTTCTAATTTAATGCTAAACCCGGTTTATGAACTAATGTTACTAATTAGTACAGGTACATTTACCCAAAAGAATATCTTTTCATATATATGTGTATATATATACACATTCATGTATTTGGGTGAATATATATATATATGCATAATTACTATATAGTAAATGCTAATTTCTTTTATAGGGTCATTGGAGATTTGGAGAAATTTAGATTGAAACTTTTTGACTTCACAAAAATATATTCTGCTTGAAAATTTCAAATTTGACCTTAAAAGTTCTTGCAATAGAGGAAACAATATATTATATATATATATATGGGGTAGAATATGTACAAAAAAAAAAGTATATGATAAACTCAAATTAAATGAAATAAAGAGGGAAAAAAACGATTTTTGACTCTTATTAATTCTTAATTAATAATGTATAATTCTTAATTATTAATGTATAATTAATTAATATTACTAATTCTTAATTAATCAATATTTATTTGTTTCGGAAAATAAAAATATATAATTTTAAAGGACATAAAAAATTAATTTAGAATATTTCTTTAGGAAATTAAATAATCCATGCTCGTGTATATATATATATATATATATGTATATGTATATTAGAAAAAAATGTATTTTAAGTCCTTTAGAATTATTAGTCTATTAAAATTAAAATCCTTAATATTTATTATTATAAATGAACTTAATATTCTGTGTGGAAATAATAAATATATTCAATTATAAAGAGAAAATATAATCAAAGATAATTAATAAGAAATCTTTTATATTTGATTTGACCTTAAAATAAATTTACTATGAAATAAAAATTTCTAAAATATTTGGAATAAAATAATTTTAGCATTAAAACAATAATTAAAATAGAAACGTATGAAGATTTTCTGAGATACCCATGAATCCATGCAGGCATGGAAATCAAAAGTCGATCATGGCAAAAACTCTTTCTATTTCCACTCAAACGCCTCACCACCTTCTCCCCTCACCGCTACATACACACACACACATATATATACACCCCTACACCCACCTTCTCATCATCATTCAATCATGGCTTCATCATCATCTTCTTCTTCTTCTTCATTACTTACAGCCACCACCCTGACCCTTTTCTGTATTCTCATAACTCTTTCTTCCACAACAGCTTCAAATGGCGGATTCCGTGTCGAGTTGATTCACCGTGACTCACCCAAATCTCCATTTTACAATTCTCAAGAAACCTCATCAGAAAGATTAGCCAAGAATCTCAAACGTTCAATTTCTCGTGCCAGCCATTTCAGCAAAAACACTTTTTACTCCCCAAACACTCCACAATCCGAGATAATCGCCAACCGAGGTGAATATCTCATGAACATCTCAATCGGAACTCCCCCATTTCCAATCCTCGCCATTGCTGATACAGGCAGTGATCTTGTTTGGACTCAGTGTAAACCCTGCACTGACTGTTACGAACAAGAATCTCCTCTCTTTGACCCCAAATCTTCATCAACTTACAGAGACCTTTCTTGTTCATCAACCCAATGCTCAGTTTTGGAAGGAACTGGTTGTACTGAATCCAAGCTTTGTGAATACGAAATGTCGTATGGAGATAGATCGCATACACAGGGAAATCTCGCTGTTGATACAGTAACTTTAAGCTCCACCAATGGCCGTCCAGTTGCACTTCCGAAAACCATCATTGGTTGTGGTCATGACAATGGTGGAACCTTTGATAAAAAGGGTTCTGGTATTATTGGATTAGGGGGTGGATCTGTTTCTCTCACAACTCAACTGGGTTCCTCCATTGATGGAAAATTTTCTTACTGTCTGGTTCCTCTGAGTTCAGACTCTGATCAATCGAGTCTGATCAATTTTGGGTCAAACGGTGTCGTTTCTGGCTCTGGAGTTGTATCAACCCCTTTGGTTAAAAAAGAACCTGATACTTTCTATTACCTTACCCTCGAAGCAATCAGTGTGGGATCCAATAAAATTCCATTTCCCGGCGGAGGATCTTCATTTGCAGAAGCTTCGGAAGGTAATATTATCATAGATTCTGGAACAACATTGACCCTTTTGCCTAGAGAGTTTTATTCAGAAATAGAATCGGCTGTGGCTGATGCCATTGGTGCTGAGAGGATTGACGATCCAGCCCAGGTTTTGAACCTGTGTTATAAAGCTACAGATGATCTGAAAGTGCCGGTTCTGACAGTGCATTTCAAAGATGCTGATGTAAAGTTAGGATCTTTGAATACGTTTGTTAGAACGAGTGAAGAAGCTGTGTGTTTTGCTTTCGTGGCTGTGGATAATCTTGCGATATATGGGAATTTGGCCCAGATGAATTTCTTGGTTGGATATGATACAGAAGCTCAGACTGTGTCCTTTAAACCTACTGACTGCATCAAGGCGTAGGGGAGGGAGACGATGTTAAATAATTAAAGAAAGTTTATTAGTTTAGAAAAAAGTGTTTGTTTATGAGAGAATCTGCAGGTTGTCTCTAAATTATTGTTTTAGTTAAGTTGCTCGTATGGTTTTATTCTTATGTAATTTCTGTTTTTTTTTTTTTGTTTGTTTGTTTGTTGAAGAAAATCAAATTTATTTATAAGAAAGCATATGAGTTCTGGGGTTGTGATTGCAACACACTATATCTATATCTATATATATATATATATGTGAATGCAACACACTATTATTATGTTCTATATACATATATAAATGTTTTATCTGGTTACAACTTGTAGTAACCTACATGATAAATACACCCTCTTCATAAGAAAATAAATAAACATATGACTTCTAGCTACTTATTGCAACACAATACACATATATATATATATGTATACTATATGATTTCAATTTAATTAAAGTCTATTATGCACATGTAAATTACATGCTCTAGCTTGAGCCATTGTTAAGTCATCCTTTAACAAACAAAGAATTAGAGGGATAGAAAGAAGAAAATATTGTCTCTAATATATCTTCACATATAATATTTTTTTTTTCACACAATTTTAGTTATAAAACTTATACAAAATATTGTAAAATTATATTCACTTTACGGTTTTGAATTCTTCTAATATTAAACGCAATCTAAATATGACGAATTTTTTTAAAAAAAATTATTGCTTTTTTTTTTTTTTTTATGGTTATAACATTCTGTTAAATTTTTCTAACGTTTAAATTCATCTTTTATATACAATTTTTAGTCTTTCGTCAAGATCACGATGAATAGAAATATTTACTTTCTAATTTTTTTTCTTATTTTTTAAATTTTGTTTTCTAAAACTCATTTAAATAATAAATAAATAATGTATTTGCACATAAAAATTAGAAAAGAGCTGTTAAATACTAATAAAATTTCGGATTTGGGTATGTTAAGCTTAAATATTTATGCCCTAAAAAATTCTAGTGTTATTATGCAAATGTGACATTGTGTGATACATTAAAATCCTAGAGTATGTTTTGGACAATGCTTGCGACATAATGCACAACACATTAACTATATCTTTATATGTGTTTTTATCGCAAGATATTGTGCGAGATATTAACTCTAGGGATACACTTCGGTATATTTTTAAATGTATTTTTATTTTGATATATTACGAGATATAATATATTTTTGAATATATTTTTGTTACGATATACTATATAATTCATAACATGATAAAACATCTATATATATATTTATTTTAAATTTCGCAACACTTTAAAATATTATTTTTCAAATAAACTTTAAGCTTAAAAAGTGAAAATTTTCAAACCAACATTTTTTAGATAATAATATTTATAAATTAGTTTTAATTAATTAATTAATTATAATTATTATTCTTCTTCTTAACTGAAGAAGGATGCATCGAGGATCTTTGCACCACCTCCTCCATTGCCTTTTTGTTTCCCCTTTCTCCTTCATTGGTCTTCCCTAAACATCAACACTGGTCCGTCTGGGCTGACGATAGGGAGGCACGCCCAAGGAGACGATAAGGGAAAGCGGCCTCCATGAAGCATATTAGAGATTCTTATGGGGGAAAGCAAGTTGCTAATATCAACAAGGTTGCTAGGCAAAGAGCCATTGATTCAAGCTCTTCAAGAACCCTGAATTTATCAGAATCCAAATTCGAATTCGAAATTTGTTTGCAGTTTCTCTCAGACATCACATCGAGCAGATTTCGTGCAATCTTCTTCACCTAGAAATCAAGCCCTACATTGCACTCAACATTTCCTTACCCAGGAAGT